CTCCTTCGTCGACGTGGCCGTCGTCGATCTCCAAGCATCGTACTTCCACGTGCTCCTTCGTCGACGCGCTCCTTCGTCCACGTGTTCGTCGTTGCGGAGTTGCGGACGACATGGCCCCGAGGAATGCATCAGCGAAGGCCAGGCAAAATAGCGGGGCGGGCGACGAGGGGGAAACCAAGAGAGGCAGAGGGCACATCCCTAAGCCGAAAAGGCAGCGCGTTGAAGAGTCGAGCTCCGAGCACACTGCAGACTTCCAGCCAGAAGAAGTGGTGATGGTGGACGCGCAAGGCACTTCAGCGGCGCCGCGATTGGGTTTCGGGCGAGATGGGTTGACGAGGGAACAGGTGTCCGGTGTGAAGCAGAGCATTGTTGTTGGTGCTGCCGGAACGTTGCAAAGGACCCCGAAGGCGGCAGGGGTTGTCATAACGGAGGTGCGTGTCCCGAGGCAACTTCCCGCGGCGACGGGGCAGGGCCAACCACGTCAGCCACTTCCACTGCAACAGCTGGGGGCTTCAGGGGGGGGGAAAGCACAGCCCGCACAAAAGGGCGATGCAACGACGATCGGCACTCGGACAGCGGCGGCGGATCGCAGTGGTAGAACCGCAGTCGCCGAAGGTGCGGGCGAGGAGAGGGTAGACGACGTCCGCCACGACGAGGGAAGAAGAGACGGAAAGTGGGAGGGCGACGACGACGACGACCGTCCACTTGTGACGAGGTTGAAGGGAGCCGCAAAGGAGGATGGTCTGGAGGAAAGATCGAAGTTGTGGGTTGATTGCGACTCTTTCTGGGGTTAGGGACCGGGGAAACCCTTGAGGGAGGCGGTTGGCGAGTGCGGACTACTTCGTCGCAATCGCCAACGGAGACGCAGGAGCTGAACCGCCTGCGATGCTCATACTGCCGCTGAACGACGTGCCGCGCTTCAAGATCGACGACCCTGCGCAGCGTGAACCGGCTCTGCGCAGAGCGCGCAACGTCGAGAAACTGGTGTTGTGCGCCATCCACGGCTGGATCTTCAAATCGTCGTCGCGGTCGGCTGGATTCGCTCGTGCAGAGTCGTACATCAGTGTCGACATTGCCACTGACGTCGCACGAGCAGTCTGGCAGGGGCAGGAATGGTCGAGCGTGGTGTCCCCTGCACTCGTGTACCACACTCTGGCGCTGAAGATGGACGTGCCTCTGTAGTTCGCGGGGGTGAAGATTGTGGATCGGCCAGAGGACGACGACATGGCAGCGCGGCAGGAGGCGACAGTTCTTCGCATCGCGGACTGAAGAACGCGACGGAAGCCGCGAAACACGGATGGATTGGCAGCGGGCCTGCGGCGGAGGAAGTGGGAGACGAGGACGGTCGACATGTGGGTGCGTCCGTGGCGCAGCGTGAAGGTGCGGTTGTGGCGACTCGAACGGCGTCTGGTATCGAGTGTCGTCGTGTATAGGTCAGGTTGCAGTCGTAGTGGTGCATGTGTAGTGAACGATGCTTTCGTTTATTTTGTGTCATTATTAGGTGATTGGAGCGCGCTTGGTACGCTTGCTCCGCCGCAGGGTTAACTGGGTCGGCGGACTGCTCCGCCGAAATGTGCGTTGACGGCAGGACCAATCGGTGTGTAGTGCGGAACGCTAGAAGTGTCGATAGTAAGACAGAAGGGGGAATCGTCGCCGATGCGATTGATTATATGTAATATGAACTCAGTGAAATGTGTGTTGCTTTTTCCATGTCTTGTGTTTGCATGCAAAAGATTACGCACGGAGTCATGTCGTCGTTGTCTTCTGTGTGGTTTTATCACATGACAAGAGTGAATGGCCATCGCATCGTCGTCCACATCTTCTTGTGTATGATCCCGTGTGTTTTCCATTTCACCTATCGCGGCATCGTTGTCATGGCCGTGAACTTATTAAAGAAAAGAAATAAAAGGATTGTGTCTTCGTTGCACGGTTGCATGATGAGCACATCAGTCGCGATATCATCTTTCTTTTCGTTGTCGATGCATGTCAGTTGTGATTCACAAACTCGATGCACGTCATTCGTCAATGCAAAAAATGAAGTAGAAGAGCTTTTTGGAAAAAAACGGAGACAAGCAGAAACGACATGCACA